GTGATGCATCTGTGGCTGCATGACAAGGTGCGGTTAGCCTTACTGACCGCGTCCTCACATTGGTGGCCCATGTTCATTTTGGAATCAATAATGACTCCAAGATCTCTTTCTGCCACTGTGCTTTCGAGAAGGGAGTTCCCCAGCCTATACGTATGCTTCTGGTTCTTACTGCCCAAGTATAGTACCCTGCACTTGTCAGTATTGAATCCCATCGTATTCTCATTCGCCCACCCCTGTAACCTGTCCAGGTCCAGTTGTAGCCTGTCTGTCCCTGGCATGTGGCTTGAACACTGAAGGTAGCCCTATGGGTAGCCCTGGAATACATTAACCATTGCATCTCGTGCAAAACTAAGGAAGTGATACTCCCACTGTACCCTGCGCTGGTTAGACCGCAGCTGGAGTACTGCGTCCAGTTCTGGGCACTGCACTTCAACAAGGACGTGGAAAAGCTTGAGAGGGTTCAGAGAAGAACCACCCTGTCCCAGGGAAATAAGACCAGAGACGCCAGAATGGCCTTCCACAGCAGGACCCAAGGCAGGGGCAACCCGCCCAAAAAAAGAAAGAGCCCTGAGAAGAGGGCATACTTACCTCCGGTAGGGAAGGAAGAGCTGTACCAAAAAGAGCTGCCAGCATGGTTTATCAGCTGCATTTATTGCCAGCTGGCGGTGGCACCAGCAGATGAATCATAAAAACCCACCACCTGGCGGACTTAAAGGCCGGCGGCAGAAGAATGGCAGGAGGGATTGCAGGGATGCCAGAGAGTGAAGCTGCTCCCCGGCCAACATCCCCAGAAGGCATACAGCCCTGGTAGGGGCAGGTAGAGGGGCTGGTAGAGACTCTTTAAGGGTGTCTCATCCAGATTGGAGGAGGGGCATGATGTCAAGGGATCAGAGAGTACCGCAGACATTGGACCTGTGACTGGGGTGGGCAGAAACCCAAGCCCAGATTCTTTCATTATTTTCCTTTCCTTTTACTTTGAATTTTGAAAGACCTGGAGTTGTGACCAAAGAAAAACCCTCCATGAGTCCAGGGTCACGAAGGAAGATTGAGACCAGATGAGCAGGAACCTGGAGGACGGTCATGTGTGAAGGCAGGGAACAATTGTACACCTCTCAGCCGTCTGAGATAGGCAAATTGGGTAACAGGCCGATGACCCACCATCTGGTGATCCCAAGGGTGGTGCATGGCTGGGGTGTAGGGGAGGTGGAGCCCCAAGAACATTTCCAACATATAGTACCCGGAGCAGCGAGAAACCCCGGGAAGGAGCCTCCTCACTGAAAAAAGAGAAGATGAAGTCATGACAGGAGAATGTTTGGGCTTTCCTCAGAGTGGAGCGTGATCTAACAGCTAAGATCCGGGGACATACCCCTCGGCCGGAGATGAGTGAACGCTCGAAGGCCACCCGAAAACGCCTCTACAAGGTCAGACAGGGGCACACCCGTATGATCAGAGACTTGCAATACAAGCCATATGAGGAGAGGCTGAGGGACTTGAGCCTCTTCAGCCTACAGAAGAGAAGGCTGAGAAGGGACTTGGTAGTGGCTTATCACTATATCAGGGGAGTATATCAAGAACTCAGTGGACAGCTGTTCACCGGGGCAGACCAGGAGCAATGCATACAAACTCCTGGAAGACTGCTTCAGGCTTAATTCCAGGAAAAACTCCTTCACAGTCAGGGTGTCCAGACTGTGAAATAAACTCCCTCCCATGGTGATACGGTCACCTACCCTGGAAATCTTCAAAAGGAGACTGGACAGTCACCTCGCTGTGGTCACTTACCCTAGTTGTCTTTTTCTATCCAGTGCAGGGGGACTGGACCCAATGATCTACGAGGTCCCTTCCAACCCCTAACAATCTATGAATCTATTAATTGTTTCTTCCACTGCAAAATTCTTATTTGTCAAAGTGGAAATTTTTCTCAGAAACCGATTAGTCTCACCAGGATGATGTTTTGTGTGTAGAATGGAGTTTTTGGTGAGTGAATAACAAACTCCTCCACCTTCTCTCCCAGAATATCCAGTAGGTTGGTGGTTAGAACAGAGACTAAAAGCCAGATTTCCCGCATCCCAACAATGCCATAATGACTAGGCTATAGAGTTCATTTAAGGCATGGAGGGCACATCTACATGTGCAATTAGTTCGAAGCAATAAACTCTAGTACGTATTGTGCTGTAATTTATTGCTTCTGGGTGTACTGTTTGAATATGTGCCTGGGACAACAGCACATTGAGCCAGGTCAGAGCAGCACCAGCTGGCAGGGGTTTGGGGAGGTCAGCCTAGGGCTGCTCTGACCCAACTCAATGTCCTGCAGAGGGGCTGACTTGGGCACAAGGGTGCTTCACTGCAGGTAGCCAGCAGGCAGCCCCCACACTGCCTGCCCCAGCCAGTCATGTCAACATTTACACATGCAATGCTACACAGTAAAAAACACTGTAGCAGGATAGTACTTGTATTTAAAAGTACAAGTTTATAGTTTACTCCTGCTGCAGAGTTAATTAGTTTACTCCAGCCTAATAGCCCTGTACCTGTAGACATGAGATGTTTACTGCAGAGCCAATTAGCCTACTCCACAGTAAACTTTCATGTAGACGCATTCAGAGAGATTTAGTCTATTCCTTTACCACTGCTACTTAACGTCCATCATATATTGAATAGACATGGTTTGGAGATTTTTTCCTTCGGTTGTATTGTACTGGATGCTGTTTTTTGTTGTTGTTGTTGCTGTTTTAACTGTTGCGTTTGCTGATCCTGACAGAAAATAATTTGCCTTCAGATCAGACACAGACTACTCACAATGGACTTGTTTCATTTCAGATCTTGAAGACTGCACAAATAATTATTACAGAAAATAGTATACTTGGGCTTCTGACTGTCAAATTCTGTATGTGGACTATTGGGTTTGGCTGAGTGGAAATCCAAACTTCTAATGGGGTGGAACATTCACTGGTTTGTAACAGTAAGTAATCATTCATTGTAATCATTTGTTCATTGTAAGCATCAGCTTTAAAAGAAAGAAAGGCAATACTTAGTAAGTGACTATAAACAGTACAACTTCCATTTAAACTTCGTAAATTAATTCCTTAAACATGATTACCTCAATTTTGGTTAAGAGATCCTGAAGCTCCCCTGATTCATTCATTGACAAAATTTTCTCAGCACCCTATTAATGAAAAGAAAACAATAGTAGACTTTATGTTCAGTAACAAGAGTTACCTGAAGATTTGGTTTTGAAAATATAATTAGCTTGAAGATAAAACATAAATCACATGAAGGCTCTTGTTATTAGATGAGTCTTTGGATTGCTAGAATGGCAAACAACATTAGCCAAGTTCCTGCAGAACTAAGTTTTAGTTACTGAACAGCTTCTCTTCTTGTGAATTTTGCCACAACTTTGAATGTCAAGACTGTTTTCACCATATTTTTCAGCATGTACTTCCTGATAGAGTAGAAAATATGTCTTGTTACTATGTCAAAAAATACAATTATATAAATATACAATTCACCAAAGAATGTAACTAAACAATATGAGAGAAACTGTATTTCAACTATTTTGGCAGTTCAGCACTGACTTCAGACATAAAGTGGCTAATGCAGAAGAGAGAGAAAATAAGGGCAATGAAACTACTGTAACAACATTAAAGTCAAACTCAATAGTGAATAATAATAATTTAGTTTGAGTACATTAGGCCTTTGGGGATTTCTGTGATATGAACCAAAGCAGTAATGAAGTAGGTCCTCATTTTTCTCTCTGAAACTAAATGTTCAGAGATTACTGCAAACAAAATGAAAGTGCCAAGGAAGATGAAAAACTTTGTTCTAATCATTGTGGGAGCTATTTGGATGTTTTCCATTTAAATTATATAGCTGTGAATGTGCACAGAAGAATTATGGCAGTACCCATCTCTTACATAGCATTTTTCCTCCATAAGACTCAAATCACTTTGCAAAAGACACATTCGTCATTATACCCATCTTACAGATAAGGGAACAGAGGTACAGAGTCATCCAGTTGGTCAGTGATGGAGCTGGGAATAAAATTCAATTGTCCAGAGCTCCAGTAGACTGCTGTTTTCCCTGGGTTGTACCATCTCTGCTACAGATTGATAATTAAAAGTATTACACTAAACAGTGTCTCATATAAGAAAAGCTTCTGCATAGGCATTCTTATTAACAAACAAAGGAAATACAGACTAAATGAAAGTATAGTAAGGTGGATACATAATTGCTTAGACCACCACACTGAATGAGTATTTATCAATGGCTGAATGTCTCATAAGGAGAAGATATCAAGTGGAGTTTCCCATGGGTCTTTCTTGGTTCTAGTATTAACATTTTCATAAATGATTTGAATGATGGGATTGATTGCGGGCTTAAAAGATCTGTAAAGGTCACTGTGAGGGAGTGAAGAGGCGGGCCGGATCGGAGACTTCCCGCCCTGGCGCAGCAGCGCTGAACTCACTCACATACACCCGAAACGCTGGGCAACCCCTTACCATCTGCAGGTGCGGGGAAGTAGGCGTGGCCCGGGTGGCAAAGACCAGCATAAGAGGGATGCTGGCATCCGGAAGAGGAGAGGCGGAGCCGGGAGGAAGCCAGGTGGCTGCAGCGGCGAGAGGAAGCTGCGGCGAGCGAAGCGAAACTGTCCGGAGGCGCTGTCGAACCTGGTGGGGTAAGCCGAAGCCTCCACAGGGCAGGGAAGCAGGGACGAGTCCCAGCAAAGACCCGGGCTGTGCAGCACGGCTAAGAACGGCGGGACCCGGCAGGAGCCGGGAGCCGTATAATTTGGAATAGAGGGGCACTCTCTACAGGAGAAGAGGCTGCCCAGGGTCTATAAGGACTGAAAGTTGGTAAGAAGCCAGGGAAAAGGACTAAGGAGCCCTGAGAGGGTCCTAGGAAGGAGTGCTCTAGCACCCAACAGCCGGGTAGGAACAATAGGGCACTGAGGGCAGGCTAGCCCAGTGCCCAAATAACCCGGACTGGAAAATCATTGATGGCATAAAACAGAGATCGCAGAGTAAAAGGGAACTACCTACTGACGGGTCCGTGGGCCCGAGACGACGACAGGTCCGGTGGTACGGGTGAGGGTGTAGGGGTGGCGGAGCCCTCACTGACTAGGGACCCCAAGAGTCCCAGAGTCTCACTTTTGGACTGGTACGTGCCGGAGTAAGATCATTGAACCGGAATAACATCAAAGTCGTGGCAGGCGTATCAAGCACGTACAGGCCGAGAGGAGGGACCCGTAGGGATTGGAAGTGCTGTGGGCGAGGCATGAGAGAAGGCGGGTGCGGCATCGGATGTACCCGAGCCCGCACAGTCACCAATACCAAAATTGGATTGAATGGCAGAAACTTGGGAGGGTAGGGCTAGGGCCCAGCATAACCTGGTTGCATTGAAGAAATGATCGAAAATTGTTCAGATGAACTTCAACAAGGACGTATACAAAGTCCTAACTTGGGACAGAATAATTAAATACACTGAAATAACTACAAAGCTAAGTTGCGGTACTTGAGAGAAGGTCCTGGGTGTTACAGTGAATATGCTGAATATGTGACAACAATAAGCTCTTGTTGCAAAAAATAGTCAACCACATATGGGTTGTATTAACAGGAGTGCCACTTGCAAATCCAAGTGATTCTTCTGTTCTATTCAGCCCTGGTGAGGCTTCATCTAAAGTATTGTGTCAAGTTTTGGGCCTCACATTTAAACAAGGATGTGGACTAACTGAAAAAGCTTCAGCAGAGAGGAATACAAATTATTAGAGACCTCAGAACTACGACGTATGAGGAAAGGCAGAAAGAATTAGGATTATTTGATCCAGAGAAAAGACTGAGGGGGCAATTTGATAACAGTTTTCATATACCTGAAAGGCAAGTATAGGGAGGATGGAAATGGACTATTCTCTGTGGCTGTAGGGGACAGGAGAAGGAGTAATGGTCTCAAGCTGCAGCAGATAAAATGTAGTGAGGAGTTTAGGAGGAATTTTCTGATAATGAGAATGGTCAAGCATTGGAACAAACTATCTGGAGAAGTTGTGGGATCTCCATCCATGGATATTTTCAAAAGCAGGTTAGACTTGGCTGGGTTGATTTAGTTAAGCATGATCCTGCCTTGAGCAAGCACCTAAACTATATGATCTCATGAATTCCCTTCCAGCCCTTCTTTCCTATGATTCTGTGCAGATTTGAATGTAATTGTTTTGGTTACAAACACTTTGAGGGACATACACTGGCACCCTGTCTCCAGACATTATTGTCCAAGTGCTTGTGCCCTGCCTTAAAAGCCTCTGAACAGAGAAGAATTTCTCCTGTTTGACTGAGTAGGAAAACAAACTATGTAGATGACAAGCAGATAAATTCTCTGCACACATCATGAGAGTGCACTTCATGCTACCTCCATCAGTATATTTGGGAATGTTATTTGAGGAGGGATAATCCCAGAACAGAAGTAGGTGAGTGGCCAGTAGAGAAGGAAATACATTGAACTGGCAACCTTGGGTGTGAGAAATCTAGATGCACATACAGTCCATTCACTGACTGAAACAGCAAAGTGGTAGCACAGCTGCTTTCATGCCACTAGGCAGATCCTAGTAGTATATCCTCAGCTCTTATAAATTGTTAGGAAGTGATTAGCTGTGTCAATTTGAAGTCAGAGAGAAGGTAGGTCAAGATGGCATGTTAGAGTCTAACTGGTTCAGATTAGAGGTGCACTGATACATCGGTCCAATATCAAATTGGTACTGATATAAAGAAAGCTGACTGGATCAGATATCGGCCCTATGGGGCCGATAATTTGGCTGATAAATACCCGTGCTGTGTGCAGCCACAGTGCAGCATTCAGGCAGCACGGACCACAGCCAGCAGCATGGAGAGCTGCCTCCAGCTGGTAAGTCCAGTGTGGTGGAAGGTGAGGGGGGAGGGAAGGGGCATGGCGGGGCAAATCAACACCCCCCGTGTTGAGGGAGGGGGCAGGGGCTGCTCAGATGGGAGAGAGGAGCCACGGCTCATGGGAGGGGAGGCGGCTGCCACTACTGCTTGCAGCCTGGGAGGGCATGGGGGGTGCCCCCCACCCAGATCTGCATGGGGCAGGGCACACTGAACCCAGGGCTGCACAGGGCTCTTCTCGGTGAGGGCTGGGCTCAGAGTGGGCACCAGTGGCACTGGGAGGATGTTGCATCCACCCCAAATTTAGCTGCCACTCTGCTCCCAGTGCCATTGCTGCCAGCCACCCAGCACAATCTGGGCTCTTCCCGGCACATAGGTAGAGGCAGGGCATTGAACTGGGGCTGTACCGGGCAGGTGGTAGCAGTGGCACTGGGAGCAGAGTAGCAGCAAAATTTGGAGTGGATGCAGCATCCTCCCAG